ACCGAAGGGGCTATAGGTGGGAGTCATGTGATGGTAGTCAGGTAAGGTCAGAGGTCAAGAGTGGGTCAACATCACAATCGCCACCTCACTAACAGACAACTCATGGCTTTTAAAGAGGTTCTCCTATAATTCTGTGTTATCCAATACAACATTAACCTGAGGGTGTCCCAGTTTCTCTAACATTTTCAGGTCCTTAAATAGGCAATAGATCAAGTGTATGACCTTCTAAAAATTGCTTTACAATTGAATAAACATAAAGTACTAAAACACAAGTAATGACGGAACATTTTAAAAGAACATGGATGAAAAAATATAAAACTTGTAATATAAACAACATTAAAACACCAAAAATATACAAATTAAGGTGAAAAAAAAATAATACAAGGAATATGTAGAAAAGTTACGAGTTTTATATTTCAACAACAGTAATTTATATTAGATATATTATATTGCAGTTTGTGTACTTAGTATGAATATAAATTTGATATATAAACAGGGTCTATCTAGAGGGAAAAGACATAAATGATATAAATGACAGGGAGAAAGATAGAGAGTAGTAAAGATAATAAAAGGGAAGAATACAAAGGAAAGAAACGAGAACTAGAGTGAGGAAGACAAAAAGGACAGGCGAAAGAAAAATAGGGATAAAAAGAAAGAGAGAAAGAACGAGAAGGATTATGAAGATTAGTGTGTGTGTGTGTGTGTGTGTGTGTGTGTGTGTGTGTGTGTGTGTGTGTGTGTGTGTGTGTGTGTGTGTGTGTGTAAGTGTGTGTGTGTGTGTGTGTGTGTGCATAAACACAAAACTAACAAATCTCTATAACACAATTTATTTAAACACACACACACACACACACACACACACACATATATTTGCAACACATCACAAAGAATTAATATAAATAAGTTTCAATGGTAAAGTGAATGTTTATTTAGTAACACAACACTGCCAGAAGATCTTAACAGCAAACAGACACCATAAGGCAGATATTTAAACCCCTCAGGCATGTGACCTTACCCAACACCCACACCTAATCTTACTGAATTACTGAGACCCCTCCTCTCTCTCTCTCTCTCTCTCTCTCTCTCTCTCTCTCTCTCTCTCTCACACACACACACTAAAACACTATCTTGCCAACACTGAACCCATGAACTGGCCCTTAAATACCACCACAGTGTCTTAAAAGTCACCCTGTGTGTGTTTGAGGACGTGTCAACATAGCCACCATCACACTGAATATTTAAAGCTATCAGTGTTATGTGTTGAGATAAGATGGTGTTATCTTGGCTCTTGATAATACTCCTCCCTCTCTGTTGACAGCTATAATAAACATGTCACTTACGTCTGTCTGTAAGTTAAGTTAGGTTAGGTTAGGTTAGGTTAGGTTAGGTTAGGTTAGGTTAGCTCTAATACACATAATCACTTAAGTCTGTCTGTAGGTTTGGTTAGGATTTCTTCGTGTAACCAGAGTCGCAAGACAACATCAAAATGAACCAAATGTAACTATGACAAAAAATATTAATCCTCAAACGTCATTACGCCATAAAACAAATTCTATCCTCAGGTGTGAGATCCAGTCATAAACAAAACCATCAGTTAATATGGCGTCGATTCTACACTGTGACACTACCGTATTTAAATTTCGTTTTCTTATTCATTGTGAATTTTATCCTCGTCCAATATTATTACACGTGTTAGTGCTTTCCTGTCACCATAGTGGCCACGTCACTTCCTGCGCTCAGCGTCTTGGGAGTTACGACCATTACCTCACACGAACACGTCAGGCATGACTTCGATACATTGTTATCTATCTATCAAACTACCTATCTATCTATCTATCTATCTATCTATCTATCTATCTATCTATCTATCCACCCATCTATCCATCCATCTATCTATCTATCTATCTATCTATCTATCTATCTATCTATCTACTCTTGTCTCTCTCTTACTGTAGGAAGTGGACGAAGGGAAACATAGACCTTACAACAAGGAAGGATAGGTAGTGAGGTGGAGGATGTAGAGGTATAAGAGAAGGTAAAGGAAAAGTGCTAAGACAACAAGTAGAAATATCCACGTCTATCCTTACCCTGAAGGTTCATTAGCATTATACACAGTTCATTACTTAATAACATACCGTACCGTGATATAGTATAGATCACGTTTGTTTTTACCCTTAATTTACATTGGAAGTGTACTGTAAAAAAGCAAATCCTTAATCGTTTTAGGGTACTTATGCAAATTTTTACAGGTTAGATTTGTAAATAACACGTCTAGATTTTGGACAACCTCAAACCATTGTTAAATTGAGTCGTAGTTTTAAGTGAGTCAGATAGTTGCATTCTCACGATTCTATTCAAGAGAAAAATTTTAACCTCCATCTTTATTACATAGATTATATGAGTCATTATTGTATGTTTTGATATTTCCAGTCACGGGGAAAACATAATGTATGAGTCTTTGAGAATCCGTGTCCATCACCAAGGGAATGCTTTGGTGTATGACCGCTTGCCTGTAACACTGATGTTTGTTGGCCATATATGTAAACATGAGCATAAAATTATTACCAGTATCTTATGGTTATACGAATCTCAGTAATGTGGATATACATAACTTAAGTTCAAGAAGATAAAGTTTATATTCTAGGCTTCATCATCCTCTCCTGACTAATACACTAAGTACAGGACTCATCAAACTATGAAACTAAACACTGCTCCATAAGTCGAATACGATCACACGAAAGTCTTCACTCTCCTGATTGAAATAACTGGATCATGCCACGTATAAAACTCGTTATAGCTCTCAAGACTCGAAGAAAATCAATTAGCTCCTTCAAGAATTATCCCTATCAGAAAATAGATGATTACTGACACGATCATGCGGGAGATTCCATAATGTCCTACAAATTCGCAGAGGAGAAATAATGATATATTCATGTATATCAACAACCGCATCCAGATTTATCAGGTTTGTGGATTTTTTTTAACAGAAACTGGAGATGTTTCTTTGTAATACACAGGATATAGATATTGAAAACGAATAGAAAAAAACGGAGAAATGTACAATGATTAATTTGACCTGTTTGGCTTAAGTTGTGACCCTGACCTTTGGCCCCGTAACCCCCATAAAATATCACATATGTGTGTCTTTGAGTTATGTGCTGATGATGACTACCAAGTTTTAGGTTTATCCATCCAATATTGTAAAGTAAATTGAGCTGACAGGTTTCGGGTGAACACACACACACACACACACACACACACACACACACACACACACACACACACACACACACACACACACACACCTGTACTAAATAAAGACACAATAGCGCTTTCTGTCGGACAGTTTCATTCGACATCACAACACCCACATATCTGCCTAAACAACTGACGACCCATAATCCTCCTCTCCAGCACACTACCAAAGCGAGAGCTCTTGAACACAGACATAAACCACAGACTGAAAATGACATCACACAGACCATCTACACCGACGGCTTTCTAAACAACTACCTGTGGGAGGGCTGGAAGTGCTGTCACTGTAACTCAGCCTGACGGTAATGCGATAAAGGAGTTAGAATCGATAACTGGGCATCCACGCCATAAACTGAACTATTTGCCATACTCACAGCCCTGAAACTTATTAAAGACACTACCATAAACACTTATCATCACTGACTCCTTATTCTCACTACTTACTCTTAATTCCCTCAACTCAGATTGTCTTGCACTTGTCTCTGAAGCCAGACACAAACATATATACCTAGTTGACGAGGGTTTCAGAATCAAGTTGTTGTGTATCCCCTTCACCTTGGCTTCAGTGAACATGATAGAGTTGACGCCTTAGCTGAACTCGCTTCCAATAAAGACACTTGAATGCAATATAGACCCTAAAAACTGTATTCAGGAAAGAACTTGTTGACGAATTTGAAGCAAGAAGACAAGTGTAAACAGACACTAGTCAACCTAGTTTCGACCATGAGGAGATGTATCAAGAATAAGATGTATATACAGTATATGGGGCGAGTACCAAGATCATTAGATTATAAGATGTTGTAACCGCTAGACTAAGGTAAGGAAGGAAGTACCTCTGGCAGTATGTAAACAAAACTAAATGTAAAGTGTGTGACCATGTTGGCTACTCACTTCAGCACTACGTCTTAGACCGTTAAAAATAATCAGAACTATTTATAGACAGGTCCAATCATACTGTGTCCATAATAACAAGATAGTTGATATATTAAGACTGTATTCACATTTCACGTTTCTTGACAATTGGGGTCTGATAAACACCCTTTGTAATCTCTATAATCCTTCCCGCGCTACCGTTTACAGAATTAGTGTGAGGTGCACAATGAACTAGGTGCTGTCCGCGGCAAAATACAAAAATTCAATTCAGCACGCACACACACACACACACACACACACACACACACACACACACACACACACACACACACACACACACACACACACTTGGCACGCGTGACGACAATAGCCCCTCGGTCAAAACTAATTTAGTAGTAGAGACATTGTATAAGTATATGGCATAAAATAAACTGAAATGCCTTCAACATTCCCGCCTCAAGCCTCAAGTAGCAACCTTGACAGATATACTCCTTCAGAACACACCAAGGTCAAGTATGAGAGGTAGTCTCTCGTCTAGCTGAATATGAGGGATACTCTCTCCCCTTGGTCGAGTATGAGGGGGACGGTCTCTCATCCTGGTCGAGTATGAGGGGGACGGTCTTTCATCCTGGTCGAGTATGAGGGGGACGGTCTCTCATCCTGGTCGAGTATGAGGGAGACGGTCTCTCATCCTGGTCGAGTATGAGAGGGACGGTCTTTCATCCTGGTCGAGTATGAGGGACGGTCTTTCATCCTGGTCGAGTATGAAGGGGTGGTCTTTCATCCTGGTCGAGTATGAGGAAATGGTGTCTCACCCTGGTCGAGTATGAGGGGACGGTCTTTCATCCTGGTCGAGTATGAGGGACAGTCTCTCATCTGTCGAGTATGAGGGATGCTCTCTCATCCTGGTCATCCTGAGTATGGGAGGGATCTTCATCCTGGCCGAGTATGAGGGGACGGTCTCTCATCCTGGTCGAGTGTGAGGACAGTCTCTCATCCTGGTCGAGTATGAGGAGACGATCTTCATCCTGGCCGAGTATGGGGGACGTCTCATCCTGGTCGAGTGTGGGGGACAGTCTCTCATCCTGGTCGAGTATGAGGAGGGTCCGATCTGATCAGTCTCTCATCCTGGTCGAGTATGAAGGGGACAGTCTCTCATCCTGGTCGAGTATGAAGGGGACAGTCTCTCATCCTGGTCGAGTATGAAGGGGACAGTCTCTCATCCTGGTCGAGTATGAAGGGGACAGTCTCTCATCCTGGTCGAGTGTGAGGGGGACAGTCTCTCATCCTGGTCGAGTATGAGGGGTCGACAGTCTCTCATCCTGGTCGAGTGTGAGGGGGACAGTCTCTCATCCTGGTCGAGTATGAGGGGGACAGTCTCTCATCCTGGTCGAGTGTGAGGGAGACAGTCTCTTAGGGTCATCGAGCACCTGACGTAGGCGGACCACTGGCTCACCCCTCAAGTATCACCTCTCACGCCTCACCTTGTACAAACAAACCTGGCAGCGTCTCCTCTCATCTCTCTGACTCATCCTTCACTCCTTCTCTATCTCTCTCTCTTTAGTCACTGTCTCTAAATCCTCGGCTGTCATTCTTGTTAGTCTCTCACAGTCTATCATGCTTTGACTGTCTCTCCCACCAGTCTCTTAGTCTATCATGCTTTGACTGTCTCTCCCACCAGCCTCTTAGTCTATCATGCTTTGGCTGTCTCTCCCATCAGTCTCTTAGTCTATCATGCTTTGACTGTCTCTCCCACCAGTCTCTTAGTCTATCATGCTTTGACTGTCTCTCCCACCAGTCTCTTAGTCTATCATGCTTTGACTGTCTCTCCCACCAGTCTCTCACAGTCTATCATGCTATGACTGTCTCTCCCATCAGTCTCTCACAGTCTATCATGCTATGACTGTCTCTCCCACCAGTCTCTCACAGTCTATCATGCTTTGACTGTCTCCCCCACCAGTCTCTTAGTCTATCATGCTTTGACTGTCTCTCCCACCAGTCTCTCACAGTCTATCATGCTATGACTGTCTCTCCCATCAGTCTCTCACAGTCTATCATGCTTTGACTGTCTCTCCCACCAGTCTCTCACAGTCTATCATGCTATGACTGTCTCTCCCATCAGTCTCTCACAGTCTACCATGCTTGACTGTCTCTCCCATCAGTCTCTCACAGTCTATCATGCTTTGATTGTCTCTCCCATCAGTCTCTCACAGTCTATCATGCTTTGACTGTCTCCCGTAATTCTCTTATTATTTCTTACGGATTTCCTTTCATCTTTTTCATTGTTATATAACCCCTCAATTCTTCCACCTCCTCCTCTTCCTCTTCTTCTTTCTCTTCACAGCGCCGTCCCCTCCTCCTCCTTCTATTCCTTCCCCTAATACCATCCTCTCCTCCTCTTCCCCCTCCTACTTCTCATCACGTCCTCCACCTTCTCCCTACCACCCCATCCTCCTCATCCTCCCCCTCCTCCTCTTCTTCACTTACCTCTGTAACTCAGGAGGAGTCGGCGTAGAGTCGTCCTCCAAGGTGGCATCTTCGTCCTCCTCTTCCTCCTCCTCCTCCGCGCCATCTATGAGGTCCACGTAAAACATGACTGGGTTCTAGTGACGTCAGCGGAGTTCTACTGACGTCACAGACGTTTTAACGAGTCAACACGGTTCTAATGACGTCACAGGGGTTTTACGGACGTCACTGAGGATCTACTTACGTCACCTTGGTTTTAATAGTCACTGGGTTCTAATGACGTCACCGTAGTGCCAGAAAGATTCTTATGACGTCACGAAACTTCTGATGACATCAATAGACTTTTTTAAACGTTTTTTTTTCAATAACCTCAAATTCGTTCACTGTCTTGTTCCTTCTTTAGTTCACATTTTATTTATTTTTTCTTATTTAATTAATTCCATCGATTTTTTTTTGTTTCTCCTTATTTTAATTCACTTCATATCCTTCTTATTTTATTTTTATTTTGTTCAGTTTATTTTTCATTTATCATCGCCTCTAAATTTTCCTCCGTTTCACCAGCACCTGAACTAACGTTACGTATTACTGAACCAAAGATACAGGAATTATTTATAATATGTAAGTCAGTAGGTAAGTTCCTAGCCAATAGTGTTGCTTCTATGTTATGTTCACTTAAATCACATTTTTCACTATGGATTATAACAAAAATCTGATGGACGAACTTATATAAAGAAACGAATATAACATTGAATCATCGGAATAATGCCCAGATTTCTAAACTACTGAAAATCTGGGCATTTATCGATGACCCTGACCAGAAACCCAATATATATGTACAAACAAAATTATGCCCAAATTTTTAAATAGTTATACTGCATACATTATCTCGGGCATTTTTTTCGATGGCCCTTACCAATAAATGGATTACAAACAAACAAAATTATGCCTAGATTTTAAAGTTATTATAATTTATACAAAAATCTGGGCATTTTTTTCGATTACTTACAAAAAAAAAAAGTCCATAAAGCTGACTAAGACAACAGCTAGATACAACAGGTAACTTATCACATTAATGTTCATTCTATTCATATCGTTTTAACAATCATATTTCCTCCTATCTCTGAGGAACGATGAGAGTGCAGGTATACCAGAGCCCAGATCACAGGTATGGTAATGTTAACGTGTTTATGTGGAAATGAAGTGAGATCTCAAATAGGGATTCTTTCTGTCTGTCTGTCTGTCTCTCTCCTTCCTTCCTTCCTTCCTCTCTCCCACTTTCCCTCCCTCCCTCCTTCCTTCCTCCTCTCTTTCCTCTCTTCCTCCATTCATCCCCCACTCCCTCTTCTGTCATTCCTTCCTCCCTCCTTTCCTCTCTTCCTCCTCTTCTCTCTTCCCTCATCACTTCCTCTTCCCTCCCTCCTTCTTTTCCCTCGCCAAGAAGGTCATTTGGTAGTAAAATCAATCGTGAATACCCTCTTACAGGTACATATTCAGCTACATGTTAGTGATCAACGACTCATCTGTCCATCTGTCTGTCTGTCTGTCTGTCTGTCTGTCTGTCTGTCTGTCTCTTTCATACCCCGCCTGAACTCGACCTTGGGACAATAGTGTTTAAAACCTTATCACTGTGCCTTAGAATGATATCTGATAGCTATTTGCACTTTAAATGCCTTGTCTATTAGTTTTGGGACACTTACCCATCTGCTGTAAGGAAGGAAGGAAGGAAGGAAGGAAGGAAGGAAGGAAGGAACGAAAAGTAGGTTGGGAGGAAAGAAAGGCAGGGATGAAAGAAAGGAAAGATAGGGAAGACGGAGAAAAGGTAGGGAGGCAAGAAAGAAAAGGTAAGGAGGAAAGAAAGGGAGGAAGGGAAGGGAGAAAGGGAAGGAAAGATAAGGGGGGGGAAGGAAGGATAGATAAGGCGGGAAGTAAGTAGGAAAGGTAGCGAAGGAAGTAAGGTGGAGAGGGAGAGTAAGAGAGAAAGAGAGTAAGGAAGAGAGAGTAAGGAAGAGAGAATAAGGAAGAGAGAATAAGGAAGAAAGAAAGAGTAGTGTAGAGAAGTCAACCACCCTTCCTCTCCCTCCTCTCACTCTCACTTCCTCCTCATTCTCCCGTCCCCTCTCCCAGCCACACTTCTGCTCTCACCCAATTCTCTCCTCCTCTCCCTTCTCCTCCCCTCTCTCAGTTACCCCTCTGTTCTCACCTAACCCTTCCCTCTCCTCGCCTCTCCTCTCCCAGGCACACCTCTACCTTCCCCTCTCCCATCGACCCCTCTGCTCTCACCCAACTCTTCCCTCCCCTCCCCTCCCTCACCTTCCATTTCCCCTCTCCCAGCCACCCCTCTGCTCTCACCTAATTCTCCCCTCTCCTCTCCTCTCCCAGCCCACCCCTCTGCTCTCACCCACCCCTCCCTCACTCTCCCAACAGTGAGTCGCAGCAACAGGTGGGCGGTGTGTGGCCCTGGCGACAAGGGCGGGACAGGGAAGGAGAGTAAAGGGATGGAGAAAAGATGGAAGGGGTGATAGGTAAGAGTAAGAATGGGAGAAAGATGGAAAAACGAGAGAATGGATAATGGGATGATGGTGACAGTAGAATAGGCTGTGAGAGAGAGAGAGAGAGAGAGAGAGAGAGAGAGAGAGAGAGAGAGAGAGCTAAGTAATCTTCCATAAAAATAATACAGTAATAATACAATACAATATACAATACAGAATACATAATGCCCATGTTTGCGTTTATCACATTTTCCTGATTTTTTTTATTTTACTCCTACTACCAATAATCACTAATAATAATAATAATAATAATAATAATAATAATAATAATAATAATAATAATAATAATGATGATGATGATAATAATAATAAAATAATAATAATAATAATAATAATAATAATAACCTCCCAAAAATCACGGTATCATTAATCTCTCACGAGTTAAGAAATATCAGATATAAAAGATAAAAATCATATTAAAAAACTATAGCTCCTACTAAAGTGTCATATAACATCATTATCTCCTCTTTTTTTTCTCAATCATAAACTAAATGAATCTGTTCCTAAAATGTGTTCACAAATTCATCACATCTCAGGTAATTCATTTTAATTTTTCAATGTTCACTCTCTTCATGGTTGCGCCACTGTAGTGTTCACAGTGAAATGAATGATAAAATATTAGTTGGAGACATTAGCGTTTCTATAGGCACTAAATAAAATGTTTAAGATAATAATAAGAATAATAGCAAATAGTAGTAATAGGAGGAAGAAGAAGAAGTAGAAGAAGAAGAAGAAGAAGAAGAAGAAGAAGTCTAATAATAATAATAATAATAATAATAATAATAATAATCATAATAATAATAATAATAATACAAATAATAATAACGTCAAATACTACTACTACTACTTCTAATAATAATAATAATAATAATAATAATAATAATAATAATATACCTTAGTTTCAACAAATCGAAAAATCATATAATACCAAAACCTAGAAAATACCTATAAAATACATAGTGATAATAAAAACAGCTTCATGGTCAAAAATACAGTAAATCACAAAAAAGTAAAAAAAAGAACACCCAAAATACCAAAAATCTCAAAAAAAAAATTCTACTAACAGATTC